TAAGAGATAGAAAGGGAAGTTTACGGTTTATAAAACCGTATAAATTTGGTTAGAAACCCAGGCACATAGACAAAAGATACATCAGACAACATTAATAAAATAAAACCTGGAGTTCATAAAGAAACAACAGAAACTGAGAGTGTATAAAAACGTCCATAAAGCCATCATTTAAACCAAAATCAACTCATCAGTCATCATGGTCATCATTGGAGTTCATTCGTTTCATGGCCTGAGTTACACAACGTTTTTTCGACCTGTTGGACTTTGCTTTTGGTATTCTGTACCTCCAGCCCAAACTCACCAAACAGAGGATGTCTGGGACACTGTGAGATGTCTGGAGACTTAGCTGCAGCTCTATGACTGTTGGTGAGATACAGAACATGTAAAATTCACTCCATAATATGAGAACACTTCACAGATCTTATTTAAAGGCGTTTTTGTTTGGATGATAAAATGGATCTTTGGCATCAGAGCACTTCCCATGACACGTAATGAAAGGCGTTACACCTGCATGGTAAGTTAGCATTGGTGCAGATTCTTTGTTGGAGGGTTTAACAAACTCTTCCCACTCCACAGTCCATGTTTTTGGACAGCACTCAATGTGGCCCTATGATATAGAAACACGGGGTACCCTTTGCCTCTGCATGAGCAGCTTCTAACCATAATAGCAATATCAGAGGTTCAGATGAACAGCTGTGCGTGATGAAGGCCAATCAAGTTTGAATGGCACTGGGATTCGATGGTTAAAGATGCAGGAGTTATTTTAGATACATTTCCCCCCATACTTGACAAAGTCTCTGACAACCCGAGAACTCATCTGGGACAATTAAGGTAAGAGTAAGTTGTTCCTCCAGATGACATGATCTGCCCTGATGTCAACACCCCAACCCACTTACCCATGATGCTCAGTCCCTAGGTTATCCCATAGTGCTTGAGACAGAGCAGAGACAGATGAGGGCAAGACATTCTGGTGGATCACCCTATTTAAAGATCTTTAAGTAGAACAGTCGTACACTTTCTCCTTCCTCCCTCTTGGTCTAGGACTTTCTTGCTTTCTCCCTTGCTGTGATGCTCTCAGCCTTGCTGACACAAAACAATCTTTAAAGGCCCTGGGTGTCATTGTTAACTAGATGGAGCAAACAGTGGCTCCCTGCTCTCCTGGGTCATCTCATGTTTTCACTTGAAGCCAGTTGAATGTTTACCATAAAAGCCAGAAAAAAAAATCTCTCCAGTGTAAAAAAATAAATAACAAGCTGACCTCAATAAATGTGAACGTGGCCCAGTCTCTTTTTCTTAATTGTTTTTCAAGTGCAAATTGGATCTTTCACATTTAATATTCACCGGTGTAAAGGGATTAAAAGGCTGTAGCACTCAATTTAAGAATTCATACATTGTTGTTTTGGTCTGAGAGTATTAAACTGTTTATGTAGCTGAGAGGCAACAAATTAATTAAGGTAACGCTATCTGCTCCAAAGTGTCCAGTTTCTCAGTCCCTGTGGAGCAACACATTCACGTAGTGTCACAGATTAAGATTGGTGAGCATTATTCTATCTGACTCTGCTTTAGTAGATAGCTGTGAATAACTAACAATAGAACTGATTATATATATAAACAGTAATATTAAAGACATTTTAGTCTCTTTAAGATTTCTGTTTGAAGTATTTTATAATAGAATTTTAAAGCAGTGTTTCTATGTAAGTGTGTTTCTCATTTCTTTCAACAGTTAGAGAAGAAATATAGGGAATACTTGGCCTGATCAGAAAACCCTTAAGTTGTGTGAAGAACCAAAAAGTATGTACCACATTGTAAAAATACTGTAGTAAATGTTTTAGCTGATCTTTTAAAAACTGTGCAATGGAAAACCTTCATTTGGTGCATTCACACAAAAATCAGTTGGTAGAGACGTCGTCTCTCAACCGGAAGGTTGGAGTTCGATCCCTAGCTCCTGCAGCCACATGTCTGATGAGTCCATGGACAAGACACTGAACCCCAAGTTGCTAACACTGTTTTGTCAGTGGCAGTATGCATGTGTATGAATGGGATTAGTTACTTCTGATGGTCTCTATTCATAGCAACCTACATCAGTGTGTAATGTGTAGGTGTGACCTGCAGTGTAAAAGTGCTTTGAGTAGTCAGAAGGCTAGAAAAGCACTTTACAAGTCCATTTACCTTTTACCATTTATGTAGTTGATTGAATTGAATTGAGTTAACACTTAAAATACTAAATATGGTGTCACTTCACCCAATCTTATAGGTTAATCAGCCAATGGAGAGTCAGTAATATCGTTCCAGCAGCATCAACCTGAGCAGCCGAAAAGAGGGAATCTCATGTTAATTCATTACGGTCCAGTACTGAATTTAGAAAAAAAGTGTTTTTAATAAGAGAATATGAGGTGTAAAACAAGTCATTCTTTAGCTAAGATATTACTACATATATAGAAAGTCAATTTGATGCTGAGCCATGCTTATTGCACGTCCATGTGTATGTATGAAAGAGATAAACAAATAGAGAACAAGCACACTAATACAAAACCCTGCATATTGGTAGTCCGGCAAAGATTCCCCATCTACTTTATTCCCCCATTTCATTTCCTCCCAGTAAAACACCTCATTGACTTTTATTATAATAAGCTTAAAAGTACCAAAACAAAACAGGGTTCCAAGGGAGTGCTAACCCGTTATCAGGCACTGCAATAATTGCTGTTGTTCTACACAGGCTAAATATTTGTTGAAGCAATGACTTGACAAATTCTATTAACTCATTATAGTCCAAATTTCAATCTCGCTCAGAAATTGTTTTTTACTGTAGTCCAACTCTAAAGCCTCAGATCCAGCTTATTTGTTTATTCATCACACAGCCAATCACATCGTCCATTTTCCATGCAAATCACTGCCTTTGGCTCCTTGCAGTCTGGCAAACACTCCCTTTTTTGCATGTTGGATGTTTGAGGTCTGACTGAGATGACAGATGTGTGAATATATGAAAAATTGTTTGCAAGAATTTGCATAAAAGTGCTTGATTTGCTGACAAAAAAATATATATTCTGCTATCCAATCAGCTTTCATTTCTACCTATGCAATCATTTCCAATCCCCCGTTTTCTCTCAGTGACATTTTAGGCCCAAAAGCTTTCAATCAGTCACAGTTTGACAACCATTCTTTTAGCCAGTCCAGATCCATCATGGCACAGGAGCTTTATATTGACATTTTGATTGGTGATGCTTGCCAAGTCTCACTCATTCTGTGTCTTTTAAAATTGAAACCTCACTCCTTTTACTAAGCATGAGCAATGGGACACGGTCTTTGATGGATGACTGAACCGACCAGCACAGACCCAAGGGCCAGAGCCTCTATTTCCATTGAACCTACCTTATTTGTCCATAAGTCAACCAAACAGCTTTAAAGATACACAAAACAAAAACAAAGACAAGAGATTACTGAGAAAAAAAGGTACAAAATTATTGCAATGACACACAAAAAAAGATTACAGAGTTGTAAAAGAACCACAAGGATGAGAAATTACCATACAATTGATGCAAAAGAGACACACTGCGAATAGAGACATAAAAGACAGGCCAAGACATCAAAACAAAAAAGATTTAAAAATACATGTGGAACTTAAAATGTCAAATTGTGGAAAGAGATGTTAAATAACTACACAAAGAGAAAATATTAAACAGAATTAACCACAAACAGACACCAACAAATTCAAAAACAGGTGCAAAATGACCAAAAGGTATCAAAAACCCCAAAAGACAAAAAAATATATGTGTAATGACAACACAACAAAGGGATACAAAACTAGCACAAAGGGTTAAATAGCGGGGTGCAGATGGCCTAGCAGTGAGGTCGGGACCTGTGTACAGAGTCTGTTCATTTCAGACCTGTTGCTAATTTCTTGCATGTCATTTCCCACTCTTTCTGCCCAATTTCCCTTTCTAAACATAACTTTCTGATCTTAGCTGTCTCTCTTACTCTATCCTGTAGGCTAAATAAACAGTTCCACAGCGCCCCTACAGGCCTGGAGCACTTCTGTTTAAGGCTGAACTTGCAGCGTTTCTGTGTTTGTTGTTGTTTTCTGATTGTATGTGTTTTGACTTAAGTTTTGTTTCTGTACTTGCAGCGCGTTTGATGCTTATGCAGTTGTTTCGCCTATTTGCAGCGCGTTTGTGTCTTTGCAGCGCGTTTCCTTCGTTTGCAGCGTGTTTCAGCCTTTGCATTTGTTGTGGTAGTTTGCATTTGCTTTTGAATGTGCAGCGTTTCTATATATGCTGTGCGTTTTTCTAAATGTATGTCGTTTCATCAGTTGCTGAGCGTTTGACCCCTACCGGCCACCGTAAATTTACCCTCAGGGACAACAAAGTTGAAGCTGAACTTATTATTTGAGTGACACAAAACCATGGTTACATAAAGGTCCTATTTCTGTGGAAGTGAGGGGAGTTTGTCCCCAAGCTTGCTGCTGCATGTATACCCTCCACCTTAACAAAGGGTACTTCACTCAGCTGTAAAGGACCATCGACTGTATTGAACAAATGTATGTAGCCACCTTAATGTCACCCAATGGTTTTTTGGGTGAGGCAATAAATTGAAAGATAGTCATTTTCCCATCTGTAGTTGTACTATGCAATTATATTTTTGTACCCAGTGGAGTTGGCCTCCGCTGGCCATTTGAAAGAATGCAAGTTTGAGGCTCTTTACAATAAGCTACTCTTGAAACAAACTATCAAAAATCTGCAAATTTACCGGAAATTTCAGGTTGACTACATGTTCAGCCCAACATTTTTCTGCCAAGCCACCTAGTGAAATTCCAGTGTCAAGTCAGTCGTTACGATGCAGCAGCAGGAAATATTCAGAGATCCCCCCTCTCCAAACTGAAATGGGAAACTTCACCCTGTTAGTGACAGAAACAGCTCAAGAGTCTGCATTCACTTCTTATGCATTCTATAATCTGTATGAGATGACAAAGATTTGGAATATGATGAATTTGAAGAGAGAACATATTGAATTCCCCACAGGGATCAATGAAGTTTATTTATCGGTTGATCATTATGCTACAGAGCCACCGTGCACCAAAGAGTAAAAGGACACATCTTAACAAGCAAACATAGCACATATAACACAAGCCAATGTCACACCAATAAAATAATGGATGTTTTATGCACTGCAGTTGTTTTGAACGCCAATATCCTCCCATGTGGTTGTTAGTGGACTCATTTACCTTCCGCCTGAATTCTTCATGATTTCCCGCTGCAGCTGACTGCCTCTAATTTCAGCCCAGCATCTCCGGAAGGGAATCATTGTGGGACATGAGCGGGGACTATGGCAGCTAAATGATCTCCAGTGGACGTAGGCTTTAATAGAGGCTAAATAGTGACGCTTCTGTCTGAAGCTCATTACCCGCCTCTCAATACCCTGGAGTCCTGGCTCACTCAGCTTCACGTCGAGCACTTTCCTGCCAGGAGGAGGGTGATTACAACATTTTGCTCGACAAAAGCTCATTCCCCTTTGCTTCTTTCATCATTTCCTGTCTTCTCCCTCGCCCTCCCTTTCTGTCTGTGGTCACCCCCTTCTATGTTAGCTCGCCTCCCTCTGTGTTTCTTTGAAACATGCTCTCTCCTGCACCTCACAAGCATCTCAGGCGTATTATCCACTGGCTGATTCGTCTTTGTGTCCTTCTGGTGATTACAACACTTAGAGACAGGCAAGCCATGAATGGTAGAGTGTTTACCCAATTACAAACAATAAGCAGAATTATGAATCATACACCAGCTTGTCATCTCGACAACATCAACAACAAAAACTGCAATAGCAACACAAAAATGTACGGGAATCAAAAGCAGTTTGAAAGAGAATCACAAGAGAGCTGCAGAATGGAAAGCAGATGGGAGAAACGCTGATGTACGCACAGGGTATCATCCAGCCAGGGAGGAGCAGAGGCCTACGCATTTCTCTGCCAAGGCTCGATGTACTCCAGACCCAGATGGGCAAAGATGTCCTTTTCAGTCGTAGCTGCCAGGAGCTCTTTCTACAGAGAGGATAAACAAACAGAAAACCAGTCACTTCTGCAGAATATGAAGGAATTTGTCTTCAGTGCAGAACCATAAATTCTGTATTTAGGCTTTACTATTGCTGAAAAATGTTTGTCTTGTACCCACAGCCATGAAACCATGCTTCTATTTAGGCTCATGCCTCACTGCAAGCTGTCAATATCAATTAAGGTTTTTATTTGCCCTGACTGTGCCACAAGGCTAAAACATGAGGCGACTGTACAGATTTACATTTGACCATCCACCTCCCACATAAACACTCTAACCTTGCTTAAAGTGATTGCACTCTTCTGCAGATGAGTATTTTCCCTGACAAATCACGACAGGGCTATTAACTGCTGGCCGTATACCAACGCCAGGCAAAGAGCTATGTCTCTATAGAAGTGGTGGCGGGGCCTGACTCACCTTGGGAATGAGACAGCCAGAAGAGAGAGCGGGGCTGTGATTCTGACACTTCCTGCCTTCGAGTGCTAAACTGGACCTGACACATTACGAAGACATGGCAGAAAATCCGAGAGCACGTCGGCTCCCGCTGCTAGCCAAAGGCAGACATAGCTGGGAGCAAATAGTTGGCAGCCTGATAGAAAAACACTACAAGGCACGTCTCCCGGCGTACTGGCTTGTTCTTTATAATGCAAATGACAGGTGAGCCATGCAGCAGGGGGCTGGCGTGAACGCTGCATGAAGCTCTGCTCATATCACACCTCTTTAATTCTCTTTCAAACCTAATTTGGGTTAAAGTTAGAGCAGGTCTCACAATGTCGGTCCTACTTGAAGTTTCTATCAGATGTGGTGACGCTGTAGGAAATAATTGCTGAGATGTGGGAACATGGCGCTACTGAAGAAGAAGAGTCCTACAGAGCAAGAAATGAGGTCAAGAAACAAGTGAACAGTTATCCAGATCACCTTTACCACTTTATCTGGAAGTATAGGTGAATAAACAATCCAACAAAGAAAACAATAAGAATGTGATGTAATGCTAACCTGGAACCCTGGATACAATTTAGCCTTAATTCTATCTAGGATCAGAAATGTGCATGCAGGCGCAGCTAGAAAATCTTCTCTTAGAACTTTCCTCTCAACGTTGTTTCCATTTTTTTGCATCTTCAGTTGCCAGTCAGACAGCAAACAATGGCACAGCATGGAGAAGTCTTGGCTTGAATGCCTTTAAACTCCAACTGCTGGCTTGAGTGAAAGCACCAAAAAGTTTCCCCTGCACCTCCAGAGGCTCTATCATCTATCTCCAACAGCTAATCTGGGGTTTCCTTGACTCCTGGATCCATTGGCTGTTAACGCTCTAACTCTGCCCTTCAATTATTTGTTTCTCTGATGTTTATAAACTGTGGCAGGCTGATATTTAATAAAACTAAAACCAATGTTTCACACAACATCCGGATTTTGACAATACTGAATTGTCTGCTGGGTTGTTTTTTGTTTGTTTTAGGGTTGTTGATGTCTTGTACAACTTGAAAAGACCAAGCACCAATCTCCAGTGTTGAAAAAGTGAAGCCAATGCGGAAGTGCAAAACCCTGCAGTTTGTCGAGTGTCCGCTTGAGGCTGGCTCCAGAAACCCCGGATGTCACTTACACATGACTAGCAAAAATGTCTGCTTTTACAGCATAAATGAACACGTTTTCAGCCTGGTACAAAAACCTAAATGGGTCTAACTAGTAATTGTCATTATTGGCAAACACTGTACAGGGGATGAATTATTTTAAAGCATATCTGTCTTGATTTTATGAACGATACGTGTTATCCATCGTTAGCCGCGATTGACAGGTGGGCACGATTCAATAGACACACAACCCAGCACCGAGGTCTCTTTTTGAGGTGATTGAATAAATCAGTTTTGCTGCGCCTCCATTTGGACAAAAACTAAAGCTAACAGCTAACAAAGTACATGTGTTTAATGCTAAGATTTGAAGCTGTCTGAAGACAACTCTTGTGTTACTATAAATCATGAGCTCAGAGAAAATCTGGAGCTTCTTTATTGTAATTAAATAATAATAATAATAATAATAATTTATCCTTTATTAATCCTGCGAGGGGAAATTCATTTTTTACACTCTGTTTAATGAACATGCAACACAAACATAGGCTGAAATACACAAACAGGATCCTATGGACATGTATTAATGGAGAGGTCTCAGAGTGAGGCGGCTGCCCACAGCGAGCGTCCAGAGCAGTTTTTGGGGTTCAGTGCCTTGCTCAAGGACACCTTGGCAGTGCTCAGGAAGTGGACTGGCACCTCTCCATACTAGACCAATTTCCGGACTTGAACCGGCAACCCTCCGATTCCCAACCCAAGTCCCTACAGACGGAGCGACTGCCGCCCTGTAAACATTAAAGTAAACATTGATTTTTATTTATAAAATAAAACTATGAGATGAAAAATATCGGAGCAGGTTTCAACAGTTTGACACATTTTTATCATATTTAGATATCTTACTCACCCCTCAGGGATACATCAATAAATATACGAAAACAAACCGAGGTGAGTTTCAGCGCTCCAGGAATATGACACTCTCAAAGAATTTACAAATGATTGTTGACACGGCAATTGTTTTTTTCTCACACAGAATATTTAGAAGTCAAAGTAAGTCAGTGTCACCCTCTGAGCATTTGACTGTCAAATTGAGACACATTAGTGCAGAGTGAAAGAGCTTCACTATGCCCATGCCATACATCCATACATCCATCCATCCATCCATCCATCCATCCATCCATCCATCCATCCATCCATCCATCCATCCATCCATACATACATACATATATACATACATATATACATACATACATACATACATACATACATAGGGGGTCAGGGTGGAGTGGGGGTTCTATAGACAGCAAAGGAAGCTGCAGGGGATGCCTCCCAAAGGGGGAGCACCCAGACCTTTATTTTTATTTTCCAATTTCATTTTGTGTTCATTTCTCGTTGGCTATTTTTGGTTTGCAGTAATTCCTGCTGTTGAATCTCAATCATTTTGATCATTGTGGCTGGAAGTATAAACATGTAAATAAGGGGGGGGGGGGGGCAGCCAAGATAAAAATCTTTAAAAAAAGGGAAGGACACAACATGAGTGCAAAGACCAAATCACTCAATGAAAGCTGGTGTACATCACCATTTTGGAATTTTCTGTTTCTCGTGTACAGATTCAAACGCAATGCCCCGTTTTCTAATCCTCACCTGTGTAATCTTTTTTTTATTACCACTTTCTGACTCTAATTGAACCGTAACCGTTTATGATCATAACAGGTTGAGACTTAAAGTTAAATGGAATGATTTAGCGTTTGTCTGAGATCGTTCAATCTCTGCAAAGACCAGGTCAAAGTCTGTTTGTGTGTTGACTGTGTGTTTTGGTTCAAATGAGTTATAAATCTGTATCGAATTGATGTCAGTTTGGATGCCAATTGGATTCAACCGGTTCAAAGGATAAACATTTATTTTCATCAGACGACAAAAATAGCACCCCAGTTGTAATTATCCATCGTGTCCTCTCACGTCCATCAGAGCTGAAACAAATATCTGAGCTTATTTGTGTTTCTTACTCTCATTTTCTCTGAGCAAAAAAAAGCATGTAATCAGTGCTGTCCAGAGGAATATTATCACTAGCTCACAAATAACTGTGTATTGTTACTGAAACAATGTTATATTTGAGTGAAACTATCACAGGACCCATTTAGTGGTCCATCTCTGCCTGTATTTTTCACTGTGCTCATAACCCTGAGCCCATTTACTGCTCTGATTGCTCACAACACTATGAAATGCAGACACACAGCTCTGCAATTTATGATGCAGCACGCTCTCCTGTATTAGACATAAAGGTGATAAAAAAAGCTGAGGGGGAGGAATGAGAGAAAACATGGAGGCTGCTGGGCAAGCCTGATGTGATTTAGAGTAAATCCACATTTCCAACAACACATAGCAGGGCTTTTTGTTCACAGGAAGCAACTCAGGATATCCAACTAAAGGGAACACAAAGGGCACAGATGAGATTCTCAGTGTTACCAATTTAGCCATTGTCCTGGATCAGGGCTAAAGCCCTCTTTACGCTGCACTGTCCACTTTCCTCAATCCCTACACGGCCTCAGGGACACACTGCTTTATTTACTTTGCACAACCTAGTGTGTTCTCTCCGAGCGATAAATCCACAAACCTTATGTGCCTCAGTGTTCTTGCCTTTAGGTGAACTTCAAATGGCAAAAGCAGCATTTATTTCAGAGCTTTCTTTTGGTGTACAACAGGAGCTTAGAGTTAAACAACAGAGCAGGGGGTTATTAGAAGGAGAGGTTATCTGTGTGAGACACTCAGGTTCTGTGTGACTGGCAAAACCATCAGCACCACGAGCCAGAATGGAAGCCGTGCGTGTCACTGGGAGTCAGTGTCCTTGACTTAATAAGCCGCTAATCAGCTACATGTTTCTCTGTCCGCCGCGTAATGACATCCCTTGTGGACGTGAACACATATCAGTTCCTGCAGAACATCTGCCCCTTCTCTGCTGCCCGTCATCGTCTCGCTGCCACCCGGCCCACTGCTTGATGGATGGAGCTGATGGACGTGGCTGCCTGCCCGGCTTAGACACATCAGAGACAGGGAGGGAGATGGAGAGAAAGAGAGGCAGAGGGGAAACCTGGATAGCAGCTCAACACTGCGCTGCCAGCAGGCGTCAGAAGGACAGAAACATGGAGGTAAATCAATATCAACCCAAAGAATCAACATGTGTCTGCTGGCTAAATATAAATAACATCATTAATCTGTGACAACAACTTTTCATTAACCAAATAACCACAAATCTATGCACGCATGCATCAAAGATTTTGTGTAATGTAAATTAAAACTAACAAAGCCAGTGGCTACGGACAACAAGAGAACCTTGTTGTCTTTATTAGACGGGACAGCTGAAGAGAGACAGGAAACGTCGGGAGGAGAGAGTGGGGGATGACATCCAGCAAAAGGCAAAGGTCGGATTCCCA